TAATTATCGGCCATTTTTGGCAACTCGTCAAGAGATCTGTGTGCCTTAGTAATCAGTTAGAATATCATCATGTATTAAATAACTTTGAACCTTTTCAATGTTCAGATGGCACCAACTCAGGCTACAGTGGTCGCCCAGTTCCGCGACTATCACGCCGAAAAGTTCTCAGGGCAGGGAGATCCTCGTGTAGTTGACGAGTGGATTGAGGGCCTGGAGTTTATCTTCGAGGTCATGGAGTGCCCTGAGAGATATCGCGTCATTTGCGCTCAGCTTCAGCTCACCGGGGATGCCAGGCTCTGGTGGAACGCTTACTGGGGCATGCGTCCCGGTGAGAAGGCGGGATGTACGTGGGAGATGTTCAACGATTTAATCCGCGAGAAGTACTACCCCACATACTACCGAGCAGAGATGGAGCGTCAGTTTCTATCGCTCCAGCAGGGTACTCGCACTGTCGACGAGTACGAGAGGGAGTTCACGAGACTTGCAGCGTTTGTTCCTGATTTGGTCCGCACGGAGGCCCAGCGAGCGCAGCGTTTCATTGACGGACTTTGCCCAGCCGTCCGTCATAACATCGTAGGCCACGGGACGCAGACATATGCGCGTGCAGTCTCCATTGCTCAGGAGGTGGATGCTAGTATCAGGAGGGAGGCCGTTCGTGCCCAGTCGTCTTCAGTTCCACCGGTGCCAGCTTTACCATCTACCCAGCCACCCAAGAACAACAAGAGGAAGGATAAGGGTGCCCAGACAGATAAGAGGGCTCGACGGAGGCTACAGCAGGTTCCACAGTGCCCGACATGTGGACGACATCACTGAGGCGAGTGTCGCTTGGGTCAGGATGTGTGCTACTACTGTCACGAGGCCGGACACTTCGCGAACTGTTGTCCGAAGAAGGCTCAGCAGGCTCAGTAGCCTCAGCAGCCACCGCAGCAGCAGCAGCCCCGTCAGCAGGCACAGAGGTAGCCTCAGCAGCAGCAGCAGAGGGGTAGACAGCAGGCCAGAGTTTACGCCATCAATCAGGCAGAGGCCGAGCAGAAGCCAGGTACCATGTCCGGGATGGTTATTCTTAATAATGTTCCTGTGTTTGCTTTGTTTGATACTGGAGCGACACA